TCCCCAGTGCCCCAGTTGTGGTCTCTACTATTTCCCACTAAAAGGAGCTAGGGCTAGGTGTCACCTGTGGCTCAGTGAGTAGGGCGCCGGCCCCATATGCCAGAGGTGGAGGGTTCAAACCTTCAAACCCAGCCCCGGCCAAAACAAAACAAAACAAAAAAACTGGAAAAAAAAAATAAGGAACTAGGGATATTTTTGAGAAATGGCTGATTATAGATCAGGGGCAGAAAATAGACAAAGCTAGAATATAGTGTGCTGAAAAGTAAGGAAATTAAGAAAGAATATGGGGTGTGTCAGAAGGACTCAAGAACCAGTTTAAAAAGGTTCCCATGGCTCGGCGTCTGTGGCTCAACCAGCTAAGGCGCCAGCCACATATACCTGAGCTGGCGGGTTCAAATCCAGCCCAGACCCGCCAAACAACAATGATGGCTGCAACCAAAAAACAGCCGGGCATTGTGGTGGGCGCCTGTGGTCCCAGCTACTTGGGAGGTGGAGGCAGGAGAATCGCTTGAGCCCAGGAGTTGGAGGTTGCTGTGAGCTGTGATGCCACGGTTCTCTGCCCAGGGCGACAGCTTGAGGCTCTGTCTCAAAAAAAAAAACAAAAAAAAAGAAAAAGGTTCCCAGGGCTTAAGATAGAAAAATTCAAGCAGCAGCAGCGGCTGCCGCCACTGCTGGGCACAATGATTTGTGCCTATGGTCCCAGCTAGTTGGTAGGCTGAGACCAGAGGATCACTTAAGCTCAATGAATGGAAAACGTGTAAAATATATAAAAAAATATATAAAATATGTCAAATATATAAAAACTTTTGCGTTTAAAATGATTTTGAAAAATAGAGGAACTCATTAGTCATGTGTTTGGGTTGTTAGGACATTGATTCAATTATTTGAAAATTAAGGCAAAACAAGTATTTATCCTACCTTTCCTATACAAACTATACGTAGATCATTTCCAAGAAACACAGTCAACAGTGTCCTTTCTGATTCACCTGTGCAAGTTTCAACTTCCTCAGCTTGTTAGTGTTGCTGGGAGGGCTTCATTCGTCTCCATCTGTGTAGATTTAATGTTTCTTGATTTTTGTGTGTGTCAAAACTTTAATAATGACCCACATTATGCAGAAGGAATTTTAGAATTAAAAAGTTGCTGCTTTGATCCCTCAATTAGGACATGGATCTGCACAGTGGTCACCAAGTAAGCATGTGATAAGGAAATGTAGGAGGGATCAGGCTAACCACCATCTGAAGCCACCAAGCCATCTTGGCATTGCCACAACTACGATAGCCAGATGTGAGGTGCCTCATTGTACTATGCATCCAGAAGTACCTGGCCACACTCATGAAGCATTCTTGCCTGGAAAACTAAATATGATTCAGGGTGGCACCTATAGCTCAAAGGAGAAGGGTGCCGGCCCCATATGCCAGAGGTGGCAGGTTCAAACCCAGCGATGCCCAAAAACTGCAAAAAAACTCCAAAGAAACCCCCAAAAAACTAAACGTGATTCCAGCCAAGCCCCACATGAATGTCTCAGTTTATGGGAAATAACAAGAGTCAGAGGAACAATCAAGCAGCCAGATCCAAAATGTAGAACATTTTGTAGGATAAGTGACTTCGTTTCTTTAATATATTGGTGGCATGAAAGAAATAAAAGGTAGGGAGAGAAACTGTCATGTAAAAAGGAGAGATGTAAGTGACATAACAAAGGAAACTGAAAAGGACCACTCTGGCTCTTGTGTTAACAATAGATTATCTGTATGAAAGAGAATAGGTAAGGATAAAAACAGGAAGAATAGCTAAGAAGCTGTTCAAAATTCCAGGTGAGGCTTGGAGCCCGTGGTACAGTGGTTATGGTGCCAGCCACATACACCAAGGCTGGCAGGTTCAAACCCAGCCTGGGCCAGCTAAACAGCAATGACAGCTGCAACAAATAGCCGGGTGTTGTGGCAAGCGCCTGCAGTCCCAGCTACTTGGGAGGCTAAGGCAAGAGAATTACTTAAGCCCAAAAGTTTGAGGTTGCTGGGAGCTGTGACGCCATAGCACTCTACTGAGGGCGACATAATGAGACTCTGTCACAAAAAAAAAAAAAAAAAAAATTCCAGGTGAGATTAGACAAGGATGATAGCAAATGGTGGTTGGATTCTGGATATCTTTTGGATGATGAGATGTGATGTTTCAGAGAGAGAATCCAAGATGACTCCCAGGTTTTGGTCTAAGCAGCCAGAACAGTGGAGTTTTCATTTACTGAAATGGGGAAACCTGAGTGAGAGGCAGATTTGTGAAAAAGTTTAGGAGGAGGGAGCTCTGTTTTGAACTGCTTGTCATCAGCCTGATAGGCCTGTGAATATCCACTGGGAAATGTCAGGGAGGCAGCGGGATGTTATGTGTCCTGTGTTGAGGACAGGTGCAGGCAAGAAGATGTAAATTTGGGAGGCCTCAGCAAGCTTACTCTTTAAAGCCACAGAGTAAGTGAAAGAATAAAGGGAGTGAGTGTAGCTAGAAGAGGGGCCGGCCCCAAGGCTGAGCCTTTGAGGTGAGTCGGAGAGAGCCAGCAACCAGAACAGAAGAGGGGCCTGGAGGCATCTGGCAGCAGCAGAAGGAAGGAGTGACGCTTTGTCAGAAGTTTCTGGCAGGTCAGAGGAGGTGAGGACTGAGATATGACCTTTGGATTGAACAACGTGGAGAGGACTATTGGTGCACTGATAAGAACAGTTTCAGTAAGCTGGCAGGAGAGGGATCGAGAAAGCCTGTCTGGGAGAAGAGAAAGTTCTTTTCAAGCTCTCTTGAGGAGTTTAGAAAGGAAAGACCTAGAGAGCTAGCTGGACAGCAAAGGGTGTTGTTTTGTCTGAGAATCCCTGGTTTATTCCTTTCATGAAGTATTTTTGTGACGGAAACCTCCCCTTGCAACTTTTTACTTTTGACAAATATTATATGACAGAAAGGGTGGATACTATATATGCTTCAGTTAGTTTAACCATATTGCCACATTTGCTTTTTCTAAGTATACAAATAAATGTTCTTATTTTTTCTGAACTACTGTAAAATTGTAGACATAAAGTTTATTCTAAAGCTTGCATTCTATAAAAAAGGACATTCTCTCACATAATCACAATATCATTATTACATCCAAGAAATTTAATACTGATATAATATATAGTTCATATTAAACCTTTATCAATATACTACTGTTTTTAAAAATGTGTTTGAGACAGAGTCTTGCTTTGTCACCTGGGCTAGAGTGCCATGGTCTTTTTTTTTTTTTTTTTTTTTTTTTTTACTGTTTATTTATTTATTTATTTATTTTGTTGTTGTTGTTGCAGTTTTGGCCAGGGCCAGGTTTGAATCCACCACCTCTGACATATGGGGCCAGCACTCTACTCCTTGAGCCACAGGTGCCGCCCTTTTTTTTTTTAAGAGATAAGAGTCTTACTTTGTCGCCCTTGGTAGAGTGCTGTGGTGTCATAGCTCACAGCAACTTCCAGCTTATGGACTTAGATGATTTTCTTGCATCAGCCTCCCAAGTAGTTGGGACTACAGGCGCCTGCCACAATGCCTGGCTATTTTTTTGTTGCAGTTTGACTAGGTCTGGGTTCAAACTCACCACCCTTGGTATGTGGGGCCAGTGTCCTACTCACTGAGCCACAGGTACCACCTAAGTACCATGGTCTTAGCCTAGCCTACAGCAATCTCAAACTCCTGGGCTCAAGTGATTTCTCTGCCTCAGCCTTCAGAGTAGCTGGGATTATAGGTGCCCACCAGAATACCCAGCTAAACATATTACAATTTTTATGTTTAGTCCAGGGTCCAATCAATTATCCATTGCTTTTAATTTTTGTAATCTATTACTCATTATCACATTCTGAATTGACTTTTAGGATGGGGGAAATCATAGCACATTCATGTGTTTATTTTTAAAACCTAATAGAGTGAAAACTGAGGATGCAGAAGGGAGGGGAAATTGTCAGGGTGATAAACTCAAGAAGGTTAGTTAGATACAGCAACAGGATGGGGGGAGTGACCTTGGATGGAAGCATGGACAGTTTGTCCCACCAGGCCAGAGAGAGAGAGACAGGAGGCAGAGAGTATGGGCAGGTGAGTAGATGGACATGGTGGGATCTGGGGAAATTCTCTTCTCATTGGTTGTATTTTCATGGTAAAATGAGAAGAATGGTATTCAACTGAGGAGAGAAACAAGAGATTTTACAGGTTTAAGAAAAGAAAATGTGAAGTCTTCAAGTCTTCTTTAAATTAGGCTATGCATTATTGCTGCTAATATGCAAAGACTTTTCTGGGGTTTCATTTATGGGTAGTTTTAAGGGTTAGGGTTAGCTTCTATAGGTGCGCCTTCCTGAAACTGATCTGCCTGAAAAGGGGCCTCTTTACAGTAATTTTCCTGCCACTTTGGAAGAAAAGGCAAAAACTTCACCTATCCTAAATCTAATTTATTATATCACCCCTCAGATTGCACCTTCTTCTTATCTGTTTACTGATTTTATTATTCCTCTGTTTTTTAATCTAGAAAAAAATTACTACTTTCTGACTCAGCACCTGTGGCTCAAGTGGCTAGGGCGCTAGCCACATACACCTAAGCTGGTGGTCGAATCCAGCTCAGGCCTGCCAAAAACAACAATGACGGCTGCAACCAAAAAAATAGCCGGGTGGTGCAGGTGCCTATAATCCCAGCTACTTGGGAGGCAGAGGCAGAAGAATCACTTGAGCCCAGGAGTTGGAGGTTGCCGTGAGCTGTGATGTCACAGCACTCTGCCCAGGGGGACAGCTTGAGGCTCTGTCTCAAAAAAAAAAAAAAAAAAATCACTTTCTGGAAGCATAGTACTCTTTTTAAAGATCCTTTCCCCTAAATTCCCAGTTATGATCCTGCTAGGGGATTGCCTTGTTTCTAATTTTAGCTTTTCCAGTATGCGCTTCTGTTTCTCTTTTCCCTCCTTACCTGTAATTCATCCCAGTTTTGCTACTGTCCTTTCACTGTTGTTTCTTCTCTGATTTTCAGGCTTGGTCACGGTGGCGAGAACAGCTTCTGCATGACCAAACAGAGAAAGAGAAGGTCATCTCTGCAGTGAAACACCATCAGCACTGGCAGAAGCGGAGAGTGCTGCAAGCCTGGCTTGAATACTTACAAGTTCGCAGAATGAAGAGGCAGCAGAACGGTGAGAACAAAGGCCCAGGCTCTTTTTTTTTTTTTTTTTTTTTGAGACAGAACCTCAAGCTGTCCCCC